CAGGCAATAGCGGATCCAGGTTCAAACAACTGTAGATAAGGCAATGAAGTATATATATGGTGCTGCTGAAGCCCTATGTTCCACTCAAAATCTAAGGAAACAAAAATAATCTGATTGGTTTTATGAATATATCTGTTGGATATCAAATGCGACTTTACAGTTCTTGAAATATAATAATTTTCTGTCTAATGCTATATTTGAATATATATTCCTCTCCGTGAAAGATAAAACTCATCGGACTATGCTTTATATTAATAAAAGCGGTTTAGTACCAAAACATCAACAGAACAGAAATGTGAAATATATATATCTGATTTATTTGAAATCAGAAACATAATAATAATAATCGATATCAATAAGTACATGAAAATTTAAAGATTTCAATTTGTATTACTAATAAATTTGTTTATCAGTAGTATGATTACAAAAATACTAAAAAAACGGAGTGAGGGAAATTCAAACAAACTGAAAAATTAATAATAATAATAGCAATAATTTATGGTGGACGATGATGATTGTACATGTCATTCACACTGTGCCTAACTTGACTAGAATATGAAGGCGGAGTAAAGTTAGAGACGGAGGAGGAGGATGGTGATAATATTAATAGTGAAGGAGTCGAAGAATTGTTCGACAGAGAGGAGTAAGAGGGAGCATTATGCGAAGAATATTCTACGGTATTATTATTACTATTATTGTTATTAATACTACTAACACTACTATTATTTACATGTATTAATGAGCTGCTGGACCCTTCAAAAATCTGATCCAATCCAATCTCATCGCCTAAATCAATTAGATTAGAAAAGTTCTCTGATAATTTTAACAAATTTTGGTTAACTGTTAAATCTGTAGTTTGTCTAAACATAGAATTATTCAAAGGATTCGAATTTCCTGTTGTTGATGTTGTCGTCACCGAACTAGTAGGCGATGTTAGCGTCTGAGAATTAGTCAGCGGTGTTTGAGTTTCTGTCGCTGAACGTATTATATACGCAAATATTAAACCTAGTATAGTCAATATGGCACCCATAGTAACAATCCGTGCTAATCGATGATTTTCAATGAGATTTGAGTATGCTTCATCTTCATCATCAGAATTTGTACAACATGTACAACAGAGCAAATCAACAAGTATTGATCTATCGACAGGATTTACTGATGTATTCGATATTCCAGGATGATTTGTTAACAATGTATTTGCATTACTGTTATTATTATTACTATTATTTAATTTATTCATGTGTACGTTTGAACTGATTGACCCACTATGTCTGCTTGACCTTGACCTTGATGACTAGTATTACTCATAAATGTATTCAATATATTACGTTCTATTAATCTTTGACTTGAATCGCTATTTCTGATTGACATTTCATTGGAATCATTGTAAATGAGACTTTTACGTTGGTCTGAAGCAAATTCACTATTATTATTCATAGTATTATCATTGTTACGATTCTTTTTTATTGGATTCATTGCATAGTGATCAATTGCTCCTGTCCCGCCTCCAACCCCCGCCAGTTGTAGTTGATTCTTGTGTAAATCCTAAATTATTACTAATTTGTGAAAATATCATTGCAAGGGATTTTCTTGGTTGACTTAATATTGATGAAGTGCGTTGTGGTTGTTGCAGTTGCTGTTGCTTGTGTTCATTCAATTTCTGTGATGTTAACAGTTGTGATGTTGACGGTTGTTGGCGCTTATTTTGATATTTTTCGTGTAATTCATAATACAACTCTTCATCATTCATATTCATTAACTGAGATAATGAGATTTCAGGATTAGTGTAAAGGCTTGCTTTAGGTTTCATCACTTCGTTGTCGTCCTCGTCTGCATCTCCTTCTTGTTCGGAATCCACGTCTTCTCGATGTCGTCTCTCTTCAATATTGTTGTGTTCGTCGCTGTTGCTATTGGTTTTACTATACATATCGTTAATATTATTATTAGTAGCAGGAGGAGTATGAGCAGTATTTACATTGAAATCATGACTGTTCACCTTTTTATTGATTATTTGTCGAATTCGATTTTCACTGTTGCGATTAGGATTACTGGAAGTAAGCTAAAATTTTGAAGAAAAAAAATCATGTGAAATTTAATTACAGTTAGGAAAAACATTTAGAGAAGTTTCTAACCTGGTTTCAAAACATTTTTTATAGAGTAGTTATTCTTCTGATGATATTAGATGGTTGGAGGCAATCGGCCACAGGAAGCCTTGCCTGACCTGGGTTTCGTGCTACTTCGCATTTACAAGTCAGCAAGGCGTTTATGCATCCGCCTCGAAGGAATCCATGTCCCTTCTGATATTCGAACCAGTGTCACCCAGTGCTGCCTGCAGTCAGAGACGTTAACACTGATGTATTCGGGTTCGCGATTGACCTCCTGTGGACTGTAGTGGATGTGCTAGTTACAAGTATCCAATCAAAGTGTCCATTACAGTCCTACAGGAGGTCAATCGCTAGCCTGAATAAGTCAGTGGTAATGTCTCTGACTGCAGGCAGCACTGGGTGACGCGGGTTCTATTCTCAGATGTGACATGAGTTTCCTTCATGGTGACTACAGATAGGCCTTGCTGACTAGTGATCATTTGTATCGATCTTTTTTTCCAAATATTGGTTTTGTGGGGGATTTTTTGTTTGATTGGCTGGAGGATTTGTTCATCAGCTGACATCAGTTAGAGAACCATCGGAAAACCCAGGAGTACTGGACGGCTGTTTCCTGTTTCCTTGTTTGGGACTCTTCACAGTACACACCCATGGGCCATTGGATCGGGTCGTAGTGGCTTAATATTCTACGAGCTCTCCTTGTAATCACAAAACCCTGGGTTCGAAACCCCCTTGGTGGGTGTGTATTGGCGAAGAGTCCCAAACTGGGACAAAACAGCTGTGCATTATCGATTTTTGTTTGTTATTTGTTTTTGCCTTCACTTGTTCTTAAAAGACAGACAGCGACTGATACCAAAATTTTTATGTACTCAGTATTTTTCCCTACAATATTCAAATTACTTAGGTCGCATTCTTTTAAAGATATTGTTAGCTTTTTGTGTTCCCCATTATTCCTGAAAGCCGAACTCTCATTAGTTGTTAATTTTTAAAGTTTATCCATGAGTATAGGTAACGCTGGTCAAGGTCATTTAGATTCTTGTATTTACTCCACACTGTTATCAATTGTTTTAACAGTTTTCAATTTGGACGACCAGAGAATTACTGGAACCAAGAGAGTACCGGATGGTTGTTTCATCCTACCTTGAAGCTGTTCATCAGCACATGGTCATGATCCCACCAGGAGAATAAACCTAGAACCTTCAGATTACACTAGTCGAGTCTGTGGACGACTGATCCACTGGTCGGTTCACAAATTTCAACTTCTGTCAAAGACCTAACTTCTCTTGTTGTTTTCACATGCTCTTTGGATTCTGACTGTGGTGAATGACAATGCTGATTACCGATATTAGAATGTGTTCATTAGCGCGTTGGCTCGTTACACTCTTTATCTGTTATCAACCATTAATACTTATACAAAAATACTGCCTGGATAGGAAGAAAACTTATATAAATACTTATGGAGAATCAATCCAGGATGAATTCCTAGTGAAATAACACCGGTAATACTGTCGAGATTGATGCTGGAATCTCCACTGCTAAAATTCAAATCTTGGTAACCAGCCGAAAAGACACACGAGAATGTATGTGTGCACATATGTATACATACACTTGATACATCAGCAGAAGCTTTTCCACCACCTTACTGAAGTATTTCATCAACAACTGCCTTCTCTGGTTCCATGCTGAATATCAGATGGCCTACCAGAAATGATAAGTAAAAAGGAATCCTGATGTGGTGAGAGCTATCTTCAAGCCAAAATTGTAGACAACAATTTACGTCAATGTTATGTCCCGAATCGGGGTCATGAGAAAAGGCAATAACAAGGCTTAACCTTGAGGAAATCGCCAACCAGTCACAGCAGACTTAGCATGTGCGAATACGATTCGCAGATATATGGCTTAACTTTCTAAGAAATGGTCACAAGCAGTACAGAATAACCTTGAACAAGAAAACAACCAATCAGAAGACGTTGGTTCTCTGCTAACAGTAACGCTAATAATAATGTACATAAAAGTCTAGAAAATATCTATTAATTTTCTTAATAAACGATCTATTGCCTGACCCTTTTCATCTGTCGTTACACTGGTAACGCACAAACAAACAAACAACCTATCACCCACCAGATATGCCAAGAGAAATCAACATGGATTGAGTACACTTTATGCATACTGTTGAATGATATCGCGGTTCGGGTCATCGAGTGGTAAGTGAATGAGGAACGACGTGTTGGGCTCTGATAGTACAAATAATAGGTGAAATAGGGATGTAGTGCTGGGAATAGGAATAATAATGATGATAATATAATGTATGCATACATGAAAGTGAATAACTACTTACTTTTTGTACTGTTGAGCATATCAGTGTCTCAGCACTGACAGATACATTATCATTTTGAGCAGTTTTCACATTCTGTTGATTGTCTCCACCTCCACCACGAACATCATCATCATCGTCGTCATCATCATCATCTGTAATCACTCCCCAACCAGGAAATCTAGCAGATAGACTTAATTTAAGTTTATTAGTAGCAGTAGTAGGATGATTTTCTTTGTTTATCTGAACAGTTGATTCACTGTCTGACTGATTGTTGTTGTTGTTGGTAGTAATGGTTGTGGTAGTAGGATTACTGTCATGTATTGAAGCTTCGTCAGCTGGTTCAATAAATGCAACCCTTGGCTTTACACTTCTACTGGCTACTTCATTGACAATAATTAATTCTGTTAAAGGAGTATTACTCGTAGTCATTGTAGTTGTAGTTGTAGTACTAGTAGTAGCGTTGTTAGATATGGTAGGCACGGATGGATTATTATTATAATGTTTTGTCTCCATTGAATTGTCAGTAACTGTAAGGTTAGATGTATTCTGTTCATAAGTTTTAGAGAGATTTTGTACAACACAGCGTTGACTATTTATAGGTGATGTACAATTGGAATGATTCGAATATTTCAAGTCAGTGTATCTATTGGCAACAATTTCTACTTCATGTATTGATAACATAGACGGGGAGGAACAACTGCTTCTCTCTTCTTTAGTTGATTTCAGTTGGGATTTTTGTTGGTGTTGTCTCTGTGGAGGAGGAGGCGGTGACTGAGGTGACGGTGATGACGCTGATATCGATGATAAAGATGATAAATGTGGTTGGTGTTGAAGATGTCGATGTTTATCATGATGCTGATGCGACTGATGTTGGTATAAAGATGAAGGTGGTATTGGCTGTGGTGGAGGAGCAGGAGGAGGCGGAGGAGGGATTCGTACAGATGGAGGTGGTTTGGCGCGAATTTGTGAATCCAATGCGGAGAATGGTAATTTTACACCAAGCTAAATTTGATGTAATTAAAAAAGAGGAATGACTGTTTGAGGAATTATTGAATTATCAACTAATTTTACATAAAACAAAAGTTTATTTGCATCTTTGAAGAATAATCTCTACTCAGGAGGTGTATTTTTGAATGGTGTTCAGTGAACCATCATGTGTATTGATGTGGTTGTGTCCACTGAACTGGATTTAAGCGATAAACATGCTCTCTAGAAAGCAAACTAAGCCATCCAGTTCACAGAATACAACTACATCAGTGTTATCCATCTGAACTACAAAAATCTTCTCCCTCATATACTACTAGGCTGTCCCTTCTTTTGAGGGGACAAAACTGTCTGAAGCTGGGGCATGCTACACATTAAATAATATTTACTTGAAGATTGTGTATATGCGGAAGATAAAAAAGCACGCTAAAAACTCCGTACTTTTGTATTACTGTCATTATTATAAACGTATTGTTCCCAAATTAAACCACATATTTAAAATAATATATATAGAAGCTAAAAATACTGTCTTCAATTAGATTTTCTTCAAGCTTTTCTCTAATGCACATAGCTTTATATACAACCCAATAGAAGAGACCATTGTGTGCCAAAAATAATGAGTGTTAAATGTTATACCTATGTCGGTAGTAACGGTGATTAAAATAATATCAGTGCGTCGGTGGCACAGTGGTTAGGACTCTCGCCGACCATGCACATGGTCCGGGGTTCGATCCCCTGCCGGCGCACACCCGATATCTATGGTAGGCCTGAATTTGGGCTAACCGATATCCATGCTGAAAATTCCATACTTGTACTGAAAATACGGTGTGGAATCAAGCTGTAAATCAAAAAAAAAAAAGTAATAATAATGATAATAAGGTGAGTGATAACAAAAGTACACACACACAGTGAAGATAATATGCAGTGATTTGATGAATGGGGACTAGCACAGCAAAATCCAGGATGCGCATTTCGTCCCTTATGAGACTCGTCACCGGATGCACCTGGATTTCCCAGTGAACGATGAACAAAGACTGAACATTTCGGTCTAATCAACAAATAGGGAGTCAAAATTAACTTAATAACAAAAAAAGATAGTGTGACAATGCAAAATAAATTCACTAGTTAAATTGGATCAAAATCTTATAAAACTGGAAGTTACGTAATACTAAAGATGCAGTGGATAGGTAATCAGAGTTCAAATTTATAAAGGAGAATTTGTGAATGAGGTTCAGACCAAAGGAGAGACAAAAGTGAAATAAATTTCTTTTGTATACAAAAATCAGGATTGTTCTCTAAAATTCCCATAGAACCTGCTATGTGTAAAGGGAGAGTTTAAATTCTATTTGAAAGGTTCACTGGGATGAGATAGACAACTTTGAAGGTGCTTCTTCTGTCCATATCAATAACCGCTATCAATCAAATTTTATTTGACCAGACAGTTCGAAATTTCGATGAATAAATTTCAACTACTTTTAAGTAGTTTATTTATATTTAATTCAATTTTTACATTTCCATTGGTTGATGGGAGTGAAATATTCGGCCTCTATGGTCATAACAGCTCCTTATGCGGATGCTTCAAACAAATGCCGAACACCTCAGTCGAATCAACCAATGGGAAAATCGAAATTGGTTTAAAAACCGATATTTTAACTGACATTTGTTGCACAAGAGGTGGTGGTGACTATCGTGGTTCAAGTGGTCTAATGGATTCCGACTTTGGTGTATGAAACAATGAATGGATACCGGGTTCGAGTCTCAATGAGGACACTCTCACATTCCTGGAGATCACAGGTATATCTAGATCATAAGTTCCAGGTATGAAGGAAATGCGCAACCTGGATTCCATTGTTCTAATCATCATCCACCATATTACTTTTATAAGTAGCATAGTATAAATCATTAAAATAATTAAAAAAGAGAGAGAGAGTTAGGAGTAAAATTTATCATACAAACCACTTCTATGAATTAATTAGCCCATATTCAAGATAATTTAATCACCTGAACAGATAAATACCTTGGAAACCAATAAAAATTTAAGGGAAAACTAAGGAGTAATAGTAGTTAATGAGGTTAAAGATTTCAACTGTCTGATTACATTGTATTTCTTCTCCCTTCATTCCATAGCTCAACATTCTTCTCCTTATCATAAAATGTATGTTTGTGTTTGTCAGTGTACACATATAAGTGGATAACTGTGTGCGTGAGTGTGCATGTGCATGCTCAAAGTACTGACTTATAAAGATTGGGGAGGGGTGTGTGTGGGGGGAGAAATAAGAATATTTAGGGCGTGATTTCATGAGAATTGATTGAGAGTGAGAAAAGTTTTAATATTTTTTCCCCACAATCTTTTATATGGTTGTTTTTTTCTTTTCCTCTTCTTCTTTACTATCTTGAGAATTAATTTTTCCCAAATATGAGAAAAGGAAAAAAATTAAAACGAAAACTAAAAAGAAAAACGAAACAAATAAATAGTTGGCTAAGAGACACCAAAACAGTTTCTCATAGTCCGTTAATGTCAATAGGTATTAACTGTGTTAAACTAGGGACTTGATTGTCATTCATTCAGCTCACTCAAGGGAATATATATCTGTGTGTGAATGTACTTTTACCGGAAGTTCTAAGGTTGAGTAAAAAAAAATGAAAAAGGGTGTACTGAATACGCACAAAAACGTATATGTATATATATATATATATAAACTCTCAGTTACCGTTTTTAGTTTTTTTTGATATTCAACCTTCTGGAAAATAGAATTCCTGAGAAGAAATTACCTACTCACTTACTTACTTACTTACTTACTTTGGAGTATTGATTAATCAGAGTTTAACGCATTTGTTTTTCTTTGTTCCTTCGCGTTCCGAGGTGATTTGTTGACTAACTTTCGCGCTGTTGTTGTTATTATTATTGAGGTGGGTTTTACCAGCTTTGTGCTTAATCTCCCCTCTTTTTCTAGGCTTACTTTACCGGCTAGTAGATTAGGTAAGAGGGTTTAATTCAGAGTGTAACAGTAGTCAGGAATCGGAGTCTGGACCAGATGAGGCATGACTAGCCAGGATTCAACCATTGAACTATCCCACTGGACTCCTTCTCGAGTTATACATAAAATATTGGGCGTTCAGCTGAGAGTTACTCAGATAGTGGCATATATATATATTTGGTAAATTTATTTAGCAAGAAAAGGAATATTTCCAAAGATGTGTCCTTAGAATTGTAAATATTAGATGACAAATTACGTAATGTAGAAAGCATTAATCGGGTAGAAACTAAAATAAAATTAACTAAGTACATTGAGTGAAGTAATAAAATTGAGGCGGTTCAGTAGAACTGAACTAAATTTGAAGAGTCAAGTCAACAACAGTGGTAATAAGGAGTGGAGATTTAATAGGCGGTGGGGAAGAAAACAATACAATTAAGAAATCATCGGGAGTACGCACCGCCAAAAGGGTTCAAACCCAGGACCTTTCGGTTACAAGGAAAGCTCGTAGACTCTTCACCTACTGGGACCCGACTCTTCAATGGCCAACCCATGAATTCTAACTGGTACCAACCAATATCATTGGCGGGAAATCCATCTTGACACTTGACTGCATGGACCTCACTGGTCACGACTTCTCACTAGAACTGCTCCAGGAAACTCTGTCCGATGGCCAGTCACTAGCGAGCACCAGATTAATTCTCAAGAATTGATTCGTAGGGATAGGTTTTGTTTTTACGAGTTGATCACGGATTGATATCAGTTAGAGAACCATTAAAAACCAGCCACAGGGAGTACTGGACAGCTGTTTCATCCTAGTTTGGGAATCATTGGGAGTACCGGAAGGTCCTGTGTTCGAACACCAGTGGGTGCGTACCGCTGATGATTCCCAAACTGGGATGAAACAGCTGTCCAGTACTCCCTGTGGCTGGTTTTCAATGGTTCTCTAACTGATATCAATCCGTGGTCAAACTAGTATAAACAAAACTAATCCTTACAAACCAACTCTTGAAAATTAATCTGGTGATCGTTAGTGACTGGCTATAGGAGAGAGTTTCCTGGAGCAGTTCTAGTGAGAAGTGGTGACCAGTGAGGTCCATCCTGTGGGAAGTGAGGATGGATTTCCCACTAATGACATTTTTTGGTGGTGACGCTAAATCACGAATTGGTAGAAGTTAGAATTCATGAGGTTGGTCATTGAAGAGTCGATTCGCAGTGGCTGAATGGTATACGAGCTTTCCTTGTGACCAGAAAGTCCTCAAGGTAATAATAATTATAATAATAGTAATACAAAAATGAAAAGTTACAACAGACGAATGTTAGAATCAGTTGAAGACAAAAAATATGAGACAAAAAGACGCAGCCTTGCAATCAACTTATTGCGTTTTTTTATCCTTTCACTCTTTAACAACTAATTACTTAGAAAAATAATTAGTTAATTATAGTAATTTTTGTCTAATCCTTGCTTTTTTTTCAATGGTTTTTCTTCCCTAAGCCAAGTTAATTTTCTCAACAAAATGCAGAATGAACATTTTGTAATACAGACAAATATTTAGCTCTTCAGAAAAAGAAATAGTATGAAAAGAATATTAATTGTAAAATAAAGGATAACTAGGGCGCTTATACGACTGAATGGTTGATGACTGAAGGTGTAATGATAAATTAGGGTGCAGCAGATTTCGAACCATAGGTTTGATACTTAGACCCTCAACCGACTGTGTTTGTTCGTAGGGATCTGATCGATTTGAAGATTGGTCACAAGTCTACATAGTAGTTAGAGAATCACTGGAAACCAAGAAGTGCTGAGTAGCAGTATACACCCACCAGAGTTCGAACCCAAATCCTTCAGGATTACAAGGCTAACTCGTTTATGACTCAGCCGATGGGAAGAGATTCAGTAGCTGGATCACTGTCAACATGCTGACACTCAGTGGCCTAAAGGATAACCTCAAGGGGTGTTTGAAAGGATGCGTACTGGATTCAGCGAGTCCCAGGAAAAACACCGTCAATCAATGGGTATCCAAACTCATCCAGATGATGAGT